ATATATATTAACGAATTATAAGTTTTAGAATATTTTACTAATATATAGTTTAGGAAATAGAACGAAATATATTTTTTTGGGTTTGGATTTTTTTTAATTTTTCTATTTTTTATTTTTAGTATTATTATAATTATTTTTATTTTTTTGCTGATGTGTCTTTGTATTTATTTAGTTTTGGATTTTTTTTATTTTATTTTTATTTATCTATGTGTAGTTGTATTTGGAGATAATGATGTCACATCACGCCAAAGAAACTAAAGAAAGTTATAATGTCACGTCACTACCTCATTCGGCCATGCCAGCTTTTTTATCCAGGTGGGGTGATTAATATATCTTTTACGACCAAATCGCCAACTACATGTTTCTTTTCCGCGATGAACAACAAAATATCTATTTTGTTGACAACGCTCAACTTGGTGTATCATTTTTTAAATTTTGCCAGCATTCACCATTATCATGTATTCACCATTTGCATAAGCACGACTTATATTGTGGGTAGTGAATAATTTTAGATTACCTTCCAAATGTTTAGGACTAATTACATCAATAATTAATCTTTATTAAATATTTTTATGGTATCAAATGATTTGGGTGTGCTTGTCCTAAAAAAACTTATATGTCAATATATATGTTAAGTATTATTTCTTTACGTCTCCAGAATAAATCCTATACCTAAAATTAGATTATTTACTTTTTTTTTGTGATTTCTTAGTTTATTTAAACATATTGAGAATCAATTCAAAATCTACACTACTATTCACTTTTTTCAATACTTTTCTTTTGTGATTCAAGTCATATAAAATACTCATTCTATATTAAATTGATAATTAATTATCATGAATGATTTAATTTAATAAACTAAAAAGACAAACATACTAATTATATATTTGTTTCCAAATGATTAGCACTAATTCCATAAATGATTAAGGTGTGTTAAATATTTTTATGGTATCAAATGATTTGGGTGTCTTATAAATTCCTAATTAGTGAAAAAACTTACTTGTCAAAGTACGTGCATTATTCAACAATAATTTATGGTATTGAATCATTTTTTTTTTATATCAAATTATTTGAGATGATGATATATAACCTTTTTATAATTTTTTATACATGGTAAGAAAAAAACATATTAAATATTATTTTTTACGTTTCCATATGGAAAGAATCTTATACAAATAATATTTGATTAGTTTATTTGTAGAAAATTATTCAACAATA